GAGAGAGAGAGAGAGAGAGAGAGAGAGAGAGAGAGAGAGAGAGAGAGAGAGAGAGAGAGAGAGAGAGAGAGAGAGAGAGAGATCTGAGACTTGGTGACTATTCAGGCTTTTCCCCGATTGGAGAGATCTTAGACTTGGTGACTATTCGGGCTTTGCCCCGATTGGACATCGTATTTGGACATCGTATTCTGGACAGAAACTTTGGGGACTATTGTGGAGACTATTCTTTTCCAGGGCTATGGAGCTGCAGTCTCCCCATTTTTTCTCCCCTCTTCGGCTCTTCCTCCATGTCCCTTCGTCTGTGGATGTGCTGCGACATGGCGGCTACCTTCCATCTTTGAGCCGCCATGTCCACCCCAATGTACGAGTGATGATGGATGTATGCATTCGGTCCCGAGTCCGAATGAGTCAGATCTGCGCATTTCAGTCTTGTGCTGCGTTGTCATTGTTGTTTCTCTTATGGTGATCCGTGGTTCCTGTGCCATGCCTATCTGATGGTTATAGGCAGCCAAAACCAATACCTAGGGCATACTCACAGCAAGTCCTTTTCTCTACAATGTTTTGGATGTGATTGCGGTCAGATTCATCCACGTTCGGCCAAAATTGCAGTCAGATACATCAATCAAGAAAGTGCCACCCTTCACCCCAATCAAGCAAAAAAAAAAAAAGAGAAAAAAAAAAAATCCGAACACAACACCCCATCAGACGAAATCTAATGGACTGCAACGAGAATCAGTCTGGGACAGTGAGAGTAGACTGGCAAGCCAAAGGACTGACGATCCATATCTGGAACGTCAACGGCCTGGGCGACATTCTCACTGAAGACGACAAACTACAAGACATCAGACTCGGTCTCACAGACAAAAGAAAGCCCAAACCCGACGTCATCCGTCTACGAGAGACCCATCTATCCAACCTCACCAACCACACCAGAATCAAGAGGACCGTGGAACAAAGCCTAGGTGGATGCCCTTTCACACTGTGGTCCAACAAAGGGGACCAAAGCAATCGCGGCACAGCTATCCTCATACCAACTACTTCCAAAATCTGGTCGGAAGGACGGGTAAGCAATGGCGAAGGCGACACAGCGGAAGGTAGATGGTCATGGATCCAAATCACATGGCAAGAGGAAGAGATCATGATCCTGAACATATACACCCCCAACACGGAAACCGAACGCCTAGCTTTCTTTGACCACATCAAATCACTCTTCCCGAACCCCCTACCGTTAATCATAGCAGGCGGCTGGAACACCACTTTGGATCCCAACCTGGACCGCATTTCCCGAGCAACGCTGCTGGGACCCACACGAGCAAGCACACATCTGAGAAACATCATGACGGAGCTCAACCTGGTAGACCCGTTTCGAATCCTCCACCCAGGCAAGAAAGCCTTCTCCCTAGTCAAAAGGAACCGATCTAACCATACATCACTATCACGGATCAACTTCTTCCTCATTTCCAACATTTTGCAGGGAGCAATCAAGGAGGTTGATATCCTACCAGGAGCAGCCTTCAAGGGGCTCAATCACAAACCGACCTACCTGTTCCTCAACCTCAACTCTCCGGTAGAAAAAGGGCAAGTTTTTTTTAGACTTAACAACTCACTTCTCTCCACAGATCGCCTGACAAAGGCAGTCAGATGGAACTGGGCTTTCTTACAACAGGACGAGTTGAAATGCCAGAACACACACAAGTGGTTCATAGACAGCTATACGGACCTATCTCAGACGGTCTCAATACAGTCTAGAAGCATAGCAGCAGAACGCAAGATCAGGAAGGAAGAATTGCAAATTGCTCTCGACATAGCTGAAACCAACCTCGCATCAGATCTTGCCAACTCCTTCTACCACGACCTACTCCAATCTACCAAGGATGAATTAAATGAATGGAGAAGATAGGAACTCAGGGGCCTACAAATACGTGGCCGGATGAATGACTACACCCTGAATGAATCCGAGTCCAAATTCTTCTTCTCCAAAATTAAGGCCAATGCAAGGAACAACATGATCGAGAGACTGAAGGACCCAGTAGACCAGGGGAAGACAAAGTCGGCCAGCACAGACATGGTAAG